ATATTTTTATTAGGGTAAAAATCTAGTAATCACTAGGTTGTGCTATCTTATTTAAGCTGCTATTAAAAATGCAATATGACTATCAATTTTTAAATTAATTTTAAAAATTGATAGTCATATTATACTTCCAACCAATATAATTCTAATGTTTCTATAGTATAAGTACTCAATTTGTTAGAAACTGTTAGGTTAGGTTGGCTCAGCAAATATAATATTGGGCAAGTATCCCAAATGACAACTGTTTGAATTGTCATGTAATACTTTCATTTTTTGATTTTTGACAATTTGGTTATATTTGTTATGAAGGTACAGTAGAACATCGATTATCCGATCTCCGATTAACCGTCACATCGGTTAACCGACCATTCTAGTCAGAAAATTTTAAATGTCCGCTAGTGATGTGGCGCTACAATATTTGGCTATGTCTTGGCTATTTTAATATTATTTTTGTTAAATTTTTCCGTGTTTTAGCTGGCAACATGGCTCGACCATGAAAGGGCAGCCAGTATTTAAATGAGGCTTAATTTTTTAATTATGAGTGGTTGTTTGTTTTGTGAGCAATAAAATAATTTTTAACGATACAATAGCGACGATTATTATTTAAAAAGAAAAGTTTGTTAGGCTTAACACTGATGAAAATTCAAAGCGAAGTAGGTTAATAGTGATATACTAATATACGAATTACATGAGATATACTAATTACATGGGATATACTAATATACTATACTAATAATGTATTTTTTTCATTCTTTTCGGTTATCTGATTTCTTCAGTTATCCGACCAACCCGAGTCCCCAATTGAGTCAGATAATCGATGTTCTACTGTATTACATTTTGTGTTTTGGTCTTGAAAATGAACTAAGGAGGTTTAGCAGTAAAAGTTTTTAATATTCTTATATTAAGAATATTATTTTATCAATATTTCTCAAATTACAAATTCTTCAAATAATTTTTTTATGTATTTGGTATTATTTAAACATGAAATAAAGAGAATATTTTTAAAACAAACATTGCTTTATGTTTTACTTTGAACTTTGGAGTGTTTAGAATGTTTTTTACACGAATCTTAAGAAACTCACAATCGGCACCAAACAACTTTCTTCAAATTCTTTACAACAAAGAAAAGTGAAAATCCATGATCATAAATCTCAAAACAAAAAATGAAAAATTTTAAAATTTGTTTAAAAGTTTTAAATAATAATTTAATTTTTTTCATTTATTGTTTTGAAATGTTCTTTGTATTTATATTATAATACCAAGATTGTTACTAAAATAATTAAAAATGTATTTTTAATAAATTGCTGAGTATATAAAAGATTTTAGTATCTTGTTTAATTATAATCTGTGTATTTTTACTACCTATTTCTCATTTTCTTACAAAGCAACAATTAAGTCAGTTAAGCTATCTGAATATTAGGTAGGTTTGTTGCTGGTGTTCTTCCACTGAAAGAAAAATACATACAGTCTAACATAAAAAGGAAGATAAATCTCAGTTTATTTTATTAAACACTTTTAACTTGTTTTTTATCATCATAAAATCTTGCAAATCAAATTTCATTCACTTCTAATCAAGATAGAAGTCTAAAAATTTGAGGACATCTAAATGTGATGACATTTTAATGATGTTTTAGAGGAGTTACACATCTTGAAACTGGATAACTATGATCAAGTGTAGAATTTAACCTTGTTTGTGTGAATGCACTGTAGTTATGTATATGGTAGGTGGCATTATTTCCAACTCAAAAAAACCTGACCAATAAAAGTGGTTTTTTTTAAATATATTAAAATTATTATTTTTTTAGAGAACAAAGAATAATAATGTTTTAATGAACAAAATAGGACAAAAGTAGGACACAATTTCAGTGAATGGAAATTAAGTATAAAAGTGTATTCACATATTAAATAATAGCTTCATGAAATTACTCTAAATAGGCACTAAAATCACTTTTTGTCGCATCAAGAAATAGACTCACAACAACCTTTAAGTGACCAGTAAAATATTTAATTGAAATACAAAATACAAGTTTCATATGTTTTTGTTAATGAATATAATGGAGATTGATAGATTTTTTTGTCTATTAATCTCCGTTATATTCATTACAACAGAATAACACCTACACACAAATTTTCAGCAAGCAAATAAACAATTTTTACTGTTTAAATCTTTTCAGCCACAATTTATTGGCCCTTTTCAGGATCAAATGAAAAACCATTCTATCAATCGAAACTGAATACGAAAAAACATTCTATCATTTAAAAAAATTAGAATGTGGTAATATTCGACCAATAGAATGGTTTTTTGCATTCTCTCCTGAGGAGGGCTGATAAATTGTGGCCGAAAATGTTTTAACAGTAAAAATTATTTATTTGTTTGCTATAAATTTGTATTTAGGTGTTATTCTGATGAATTATAGTTCCAGGTTATGTATGCAGTTTTTGTTTTATATTTATTACATTAAAAATCGCTTTCAACTATACGAGCGCTAAGATGGCTTTTTCTTTTCCGCTAGACTTATTACACCATCAATGAAACGGAGAACAAGCTTTAGAAAGACTTTTTATTTATTTGAGTATGCATTTCGGATAATTATATCCCTTTTCAACTCGTGTCTAATAAGTCTAGCAGAAAAGAAAAAGCCATCTTAGCGCTCGTATATTTGAACATAAGACTAGACAAGAAGCACATTGCACATTTCAAAAAATCGCTTTATTGGAGAAATTAACAAAAGAAACCAGTCTGATATTTTACCCAAATACTTTCAAACTTCTTAGGCTCATCATAAGTGGCAATTGAACACAAATTCCAAATCCTGTTGATTCAAAAAACATTTCAAACATTCAATTCAAATTCAAATACAAATAGTCTAGGAATTCCAATCTTGAAGAAACTAACACCCACTGTTCTCCTTTCCTTAAAAAATATTCATCTATTGTATATCTATTCAGTTCAGATATGAAGTCTTTCCATCATATTTCTTGCAACCCTCTTACTTTTCATAATTTTCTTTAAGTTCATTAGATCTTATTGTCTATTTCTTCCTACTTCTCTTTTCTTGTCTTGTTACCCATTTCCATGCCTCCAATAATGCCTCCTCATTTTTTAGATAATTACCTAATCATCTAGACCGGAGAGGACAACCTTTTTAAGTGTTCATACAAAAATTGTCAAATCTATGATGCAAAATTTTTTTTATGTGCTAATTGCATATTATTATTTGGCATCTTTTTAACTATTGAGAGAACCTTTTCAAATAATGAAAAATTCACATACACACACTAAGAAACACGAAAAGGTTTTTAGAAAACACAAAAAAATATATAAAATGATGAAGAAATCACTATTGACTGCCTGACAAATGATGCAACAACTAAAACTTGTAAGTTAGTATATCACAAAGACAGATAATCTTAGAAATAGGATGTTTGTTTCATTTTATTATTATTATTATTATCATTAAAACAGTTGATAGGTTTGTACGTTTTATGCTAGTGTAATTTTCCCAATGACGGACTTATCACACTGGATTAAACACAGAGCAAAATGATGTTGAGACATACAATTTGCAAAGTAATTCTACGTATTTATTTTACAATATGCATTTCGGACATAACAGGCTCCTCTTCAGTCTTAATACATAGATCTTTTAGGATTTGTAGACATATGTATATCCATTAGTATAGTGAACTCCTGTATAACTCAATGAAAAAATTGTCATTAGTACTCATACAAAATTCTAATTTTGTGTTCCAGAGTATATATTTTCTTCTTCAACTTTTAGGCCTAGGTTTAAATTTGTATAAAATCATCTAATAATGCATGTCTTGATAACATGATTTCAGATAATGTAGAATGTATCCTTGCATTGTACAGGACTCCACTGTAAATTCATAATAAAAACTTCACAACATATGCACAGACAACAAAATGCCACCAAACAAGAACATTTTAACCAGGACATACTTGAATAAAAATTTGTACAATTCAATGTAACCTCTAGAAAAACAGATGAAATCATAATGAATTCACAGCACAATTATAATCTAATAGAATTTACTAACAATGTCCCTCTTGCACGTCCACGTTTGTATGGACAAAATCCACTAAGATGAAAGTCTTGCCAAAGTATATCTATTTTTTTTTTTTTTTGGTATTCTTTTACAACAGCCTATTACAAAATGTGTTTTAAAAAAAATTTCTTTCTTAGCTGTAAACTTTCTGAAACTGTTGAAGTTGATATAATATAATTATGTATTGTAATATTTATAATTAAGTAGACCAATCAAAACCTCGATAATCCCAATAAATAATTTAATGTAAATTTGACAAATGGTTTCAATCTTACATAAGATCTGTTTCAGGTCATCATCATCCTAAATTGGAATACACAAAACTCTTATACTTAAGCACAGAATTTACAGTAATACACTTATTCTGTAATATTCAAATACATTGATATTATGTTCAGTTCCACATGAAATTGAATATAAAATTAATGTAAGATCCAGGAGTGTAAATCGTTTTATGCATGAAATTGATTTTTGAGTATTTGAATATAACAGACAGTGTTATGATATACAGTTATGTTATATGATCATCAACATCTTTGCAAAATATATAATTGAGGAGGAAAACAGTGTTTTTCTAAAGACATTTTGTAACCAGTGTTAGAAAAGAAAACCATGTATAAGAAATAAATATGTATATATCAAGACTGCATCATAGTGGATAATTAAACAACTAAGCCTGATAATTATATTAAAGCCAAATGATTACTGGATTAAATCAGGCTATATTCTCACTATTATAATAGCAGTAATGCAACCTGATTTAATCTGAAAATTGTGTGGAATTTATTTTTATGACTGGAAGTTAGAAAACTTAAAAGATTTTATTTTTATTATTTTTACAATCAAAATAAGCTTTTATAAAATAATTTTTGTGTTTAATTTGATAATTTATAATTTTTTAATATTTTATATAAAATTTTTATTCTCAATAGGAAGCAGGAGTTGGAGAAATAGTATGGGCAAAGTTAGGCTGCACTCGCTGGTGGCCGGCTATGGTGATTTGGGGTGCAGACTGTGGCCAACCTCCAGCTCGTCCTGGTCAGACGTGGGTTTTTTGGTTTGGAGATCATAAAATATCAGAGGTAAATATCATATTGAAATTATTACTGTAGTATTTTTCTAAAATAGCACTTAAAAAATACTAATAATTAAAATATAATTTTAATATGAAATAATTTATAATATAATTATACATTTAGTAACATGAGTAATTCAATAAAAATTATGGGAAATACTGTTACATTAAATTTTTTGATTTCTAATAATAATATTTTTAGGGTGATTTTAAATCTTGTACCTGTAGTTTAGAAAAGTTTTTTCTTGAATCAATGTAATTTACATCATATTTGAATAAAAGGTGATTATCAATAACTGATATAAGTATATAAATTATAATATTACAACATATGTATATATATATGTTGTAATATTATATATTATATATAATAAAGAAAATGAAAGAAAAGAGTTCTAATCATTAGTTTAGACTAAATTTTTGTATAAATGACTTATAGTAAGACCAAAACTAAACTTTATTAGAAAATTTTCAAATATAAAATCATTATTTCCTATTATTACATATATATA